CCGGGTCCGTTCCCCCGGTGCGGCCCGCTCCTCCCCTCCCCCGCACTTGGCACTCTGGGCTGCGGCGGGCACAGCTGATCCGTGGGCCCGGAGGTCCCCGGGGTCCCAGTCATCACCTGCGGAGGCTTCCATGCCTTCGGCTGCCCAGCCCAGGCCGCCGAACTGCTCTTCGGAGCCCCTGCTGGAGGCGGCTAGTTGAGTGCTCGCCGGGGCTGGGGCTGCCGGGAGGGAGGCGGGGGAGGGGGAGGTGGATGGAGGGAACGAGCCAGTCGGCGGCTCGCCGGCAGCTGCGTAAGCCGTCCGTCTTCACTTTCCTTCTTAAAGAGATAGTTAGCATCTTGCTCCCTCAGAGGGCGCGGGAGCGGAGACGCCAGCATGCATGGAGCTGGGGCCTCTCCCACCTCCACACCAGCGTGTACTTGGAGCTGGGCAGCGGGGCAGGGCGGAGACCACGTTGATCCACTGACAGGGCGTGTGACCCTGGCCAAGTCCCTTCACCTCTCTGGGCCCCAGCTTTCTCATCTGTAACATTGTGTGATGATACCATGATACCAATCTTACTTCCTAGGACACGGTCAGTAGGCTTAAACAATAATTTGATCCTAATTCTTTTAGGAACATTATTCACTCTCCAAACCAAGTACCTCTGAGTACCAGAACTATTTAGTGCAAACAGAATCTTATGTATCTGAAAACAAAAATGTTTTTCTTTGAAGTATTAAGATGGAGAATCATTGGCAAGATGGAAGGAGAAACAATCACAACCCAAAGTGTTCATTATACACCTTTCTCCTCTGTCTTCCACCCACTATCACAGGGGAAGACGGGGAAAAACAAGTGGGAAAAGTCCAGAAAACTGGATTCTCTGCTTAGCCCTTCCATTTCCAGCTCTGCAACTTTATGTAAATTAATTCACTCTCTGGGACTGGTTTCTTATCTGCTCCATGTATGGGAAGTGGGGTGCAATGGGAAGGGGCTCCCTCCTCTGAATCAGTCCTGTCTATTTGATCAGTCATTCCTCTGCTCAAAACCACCCCTCACTTCTTCCAGATCTCTGTTCAAATGTCACTGTCCCAGGAAGGCCTTCCTTGACCAGCAAAATAGTAATTCCCTCCTTCCTCATTTCCTCTGCCCTAGTTTTGCTGTGTTTCACCACCACCTGACGTATTGTATTTTTACTATTTGTTATTCTGTCATTATTGTGCCCACTAGAATATACACTCCATTAGGGAAGGGACTTTGTCTCCTGCTATATCCCCAGTGCCTAGGATGCTGCCTAACACATATCTGATGCCCACTAAATATTGACTAAGTGAATAAGAGAGTAAGCATACATGGTGCCAGGCCCTAGTCTTCTTTAAGAACACTAGGCCAGATGTTATCCTGGTCTCTTAAGACTCTTTGGATCCTTAAGTCTCTGTCTACTCTTGGCAGGATTGAACTTGGTACCCTCCACCCTAAGCTCACTTTTCCAAGAATTTGTAAAGTGACTTTACCAACTTCATATCATGACTGCAATACTGGCCTGGTGAGAAATAATTAATATTTACAACATACAACACACATTTAAAATAATTATTTTAAATTAACTGTTACTTCTCAAAGTTAAATCTTTTTAGTAGCTCTGATTTGTGGTAAATCCATTGCTCTATAATAATATACATAATTTTGCAACAAATATCTATGAATTTTTTGGCACTGGTTATATTTTTTCCTTATTCAATGAAATTGAATTCCCATATCAGATGGCCACCATTATATTATGCTTTGTGATAAAATATGGCAGAGCAATTGTAGCAGGAATAGGAAACTGCAGTTGAAAAAGCCATGTGAAATAAGGCCTGCTGTCTTAAAAAAAAAAACAAAAAACCAAAACCCTAATGCTAAACTAGCAAGTGAATTAATAGAATGTTTTCATTGCCCTAAGGCCCATCTAAATTATATAAGTGAATTATTTACAGTTAAAGCAAAACCAAAGGAAGCCATGTAATTATTGTTTGTTCATCAAGAGATAATTTCTGAGATCCGCATCTAAAAAATTTTTTTCTTGCCTATCTTCATATTTTTTTCACTTGATACTTACAAGAATACATTTCCTAGAAATATCCACAAGGAACTTTCCCCCCAAAACACAGAGAACCTCTATCCACATTACTCCCTTCTGGAATGGTGTTAGCTAGTAAGAATTCTCCTCTTAGTGTCATAAAAAGCACAAGATTGAGAAGGAGACAGCCAGTGTTTAGTAATAATGTAAATTGCAACAAATGAGGATTTTAAGCATAAAACAAAATTAGTCTAAAGAAATTAGTAGTTTTGCTTTGTACAAATTGGGAAATACTTAAATTTTTTTAGTTTCAAAAGCAATTTTGGTTCCAATTCTGGGTAAGCACACTCATCCCACTGAACGCAGTAATAAACTGAACAAAATGCATACAGCAGCTACTTGGGGACTCTGAAGAGAAAATATTAGGAGGCAAATTGGGGAAGAAGGCCAGAATTTGATATAACACTGATTAGTGAATTTACCAGTTTTGTTTCCTCTGGTGTCCCCCAGCCTGGTCTCAAGGCAGCCCCAAATCTGGAAGTGGGGAATCAATACAGAGAGAGCTCCCACGTGTCTTCCTAGTTCTGACTTGAGGATCAGGAAAGGAGAACTCCCCAATGCTCAGAGTGAGTAGAAGAAGTAATTTTTCTTTTCTTTTTTAATCTTTTCTCCTTCATCTCACAACCCAGCCTCCAGGCAATCCTGCAGTGTTGGCTGTGACACCAGGGACGCATAGGTGCCTAAAACTCTGAGGGAGGAGAAGCTTCTCCACTCAGCGTAGCTATGGTCCTGAGAGAGAGTGAGCCTCTGCTGTTTTTGTTTGTTTGTTTGTTTGTTTGTTTTTTGTCTTTTGGCTCTGTCCTCCCACCATTTAGCTCCAGCTGCAGATGCAATTGTGGGAAGAAGGCAGCAAAACAAAGAAGGGTAAATAAAGCTCCAAGTTCCAGCTTTCTGGTGAGTGAAACCCCAAAGAGGATAAACCAAATTATAATAATGATAATAATAAAAAAATAATAATTTCAATTACTATTGAAAACTAAAAAACTTGAAAACATTATGCTAAGTGAAAAAAAAAACAGTAACAAAAGACCATATACCCTATTAGAGACAGAAAGTTGATTAGTTGATGCCAGGAGATGCAGGGAAGGAGGTAGTGGGGAGTCATTGTTTATGAGTATGGGGTTTCTTTTGATAATGAAAATGTTCTAAAATTAGATAATGGTGATGGTTGCATAATACTGTGAATATACTAAAAACCATGAATTGGACAATTAAAAAAAAGAGTTTAACACTTTAAAAATTACATGATATGTGAATTACAGCTCAATAAAGCTGTTAAACCATATTAGCAAATTGAATCCAGCAATACATAAAAGAAATAATATACCATGGCCAAGTAGAGTTTATCTTAGAAATGCAAAGCTGGTGAAAAATTCAAAAATCAGCTGGTATAATCCACCATATTTAAAGAATAGTCTAAAGAAAAACCTCACTAATTAATTCAGAAAAAGCATTTAACAAAATTCAACATCCACTCATGATAAAACAAACAGAAAACAACCTCTCAGCAAACTAGGAATAAAAGGGAATATCCTCAACCTGATTAAAAATACCTCCACATGCCCACCCTCCCCCACAAAACCAGCCATACTTAACATCATAATGGTGGAAGACTGAATGCTTTCCTTCTTGCACTGGAAACAGATTGCAATGGAAGAAATGAAATCGTCCCTATTTGCAGACATGATTGTATAAAATATCCCAAGGAATCTACAAAAACAAACTCCTAGAATTCTGAGAGTTTAGCAAGGTCAGAGGATACAGAGTTAACCCACAAAAGTCAATTGTATTAATGACAAAATTACAGAGATAGAGAACAGATTCATGGTTGTCAGGGGCTAGGGATCAGGGCAGGGAGAGAGGTGGCTGTGGCTACAAAAAGGTAGCACAAGTGATGAAACTGTTCTGTTTCTTGACTGTGGTGGTGGTCACGTGAAGCTACCTAGGTGATAAAGTTGCACAGAACTAAATACACACAAACAGATGAATGCATGTAAAACTAGTGAAATATGAATAAGTGGACAGTATCAATGCCACTTTCCTGTGATATTGTGCTATAATTATGCAAGATGTTACCATTGGGAGGAACTGGGTGAAGGATATACAGGGTCTTTCTGTATTATTTTTTACAAATTCATGTGAACCTACAGTTATCTCAAAATAAAAATTAAAAGTCAACTGGAACTCTCACACATTGCTAATGGGAGTGCAAAAAGGCACACATGGAAAATAACTTGCTAATTTCTTATAAAGTTAAACATGCAATTTCTGTATGACTCAGGCCTAGATATTTATCCTAGAGAAATAAAAACATATTCACACAGAGACTGTACACAGGCGTATGTAGCAGGTCTATTTATAATTGTCAGAAGCTGGAAACAACTTAAATGTCCTTCAAGGGATAAATGGATAAAAACTGTGGTATATCCAGACAACAGAATACTACTTAGCAATACATAGGACTAAACTACTGACACATGCTACAACTTGTCCTAATCTCAAAGACACGCTGAGTGAAAGAAGCAAGTCTCACGAAGGTTACATTACTACATAATTCCATTTGTATGACATTCTTAAGAAGACAAAACTATAGTCATATAGAAGCGTGGTGGCCAGAAGTTAGAATGGGGGAAAGGTGTGACTACAAAGGGACAGCACAAAGCAGTTATTTTGGGGTGACTTTATTGGAATCCTGGTTCTGGCGGTGGTTACAGGAACCTATACATGTGCTAAAATTCATAGAACTGTGCACCAAAATGAAAAAGTCAAATTTTCTGTGTGTTTTTAAATTTTAATTAAAAATTAAAGGAAAAATTTTAAAAGGCAAATTTGACATAAAAAACTTGTAGTTAATACATTCAAAGAGGCCATTTAGAATTAAGTCTGTAGCACAATTCCAGATACAATAGTATTTTAGAGAGTACCATGGGCTTCGTTTTATAGTACGTTACGGAGCTCACAGAGCATTATATGAAAATTTCTTAACTCAAATTTCAAATAAGAGAAAAGAAAAACAATGGTTTTAATGTAAAAAATGCTCAGTAAACACCAAGTAAAGGCATTTATTTTAGTGACCTTTACTTGAATTGTAGCTGCAGACAACATGCTGAATAAGTGTCTGCTAATTTTTTAATGTAAGAAGCAGACTTAGTTTTGCAGACATATGAATGGTGGCCATAATAATCATTAAATAGTAAACAAGTAGGTTGAATGACTTATAAATAGACTTATAAATAATAAAAGCCATTCAGATAATTTAAAACAAAGATGAATTTTATAACTCTTCAGTTAAGATATTAGATTAAAAATCATGACATTAGGTCAAATCAAGAAAGATATGCATTAGAATCAAATAATTATAGTCTATGGGGAATAAGAAGTATTAATTATTAATATCCATAAAATTTAAGTAAATTATCTAATTTTTAAAATTCCTTGAATGATTCTTGAAGGCATGTAGTATTTTAAAAATGTGCCCTAAATGCAACATTCAAGTCAGGGAAATGGTTAATGATATACATTCAAGTCAGCTAAGTTAAAAATATTACTTAGCTATAATTAAGTATTTCTGGCTATGATTATTCTGAACTTACAATGAAGAAATAGGAGGTCAGCCTATCTATGAAATGGACCAGACCTTCAGCGGCTTCCAGATGGCTTCTGCATTAAATTGAGCAAACTATACAGAAATTCCAATAATGACACAAATCTGCATGTTCCGTATTTCCTTCACATTGTATGGAACATTGGTCCCACTGTAGCTATAATATCTGCATAGGGAGCACTCTGGCTCAGCTCAATAGCCTGCTGTTTTTTTAGGACAAGAAAGCTATAAAATTTGGCAGCAGCTTGTTTTCGGTCACTATTTCTGCAGAGATTCATCAGACTAAAGTACTGCATTCCCATCTTGTTGGATTCCTGGGAAAACAATGATAAAAGAGGAAAGGAAAGGGAAACAAGGTCATTAGAAGCAGAGCAGGCTGCGTATGCATAATGAACAACAAAATATTGATATTTTTGATAAGTGACTGTGAAATCCTTAAATGAAGAAATGCAAATGACTCATTAGGAAACTTAAAAAACATCATAGGTCATTGAGCATAGCTTGGTTCATTGAGAAAATACATGCAAAAGAACTCTAAAGTGTTGTACAAATTTCTAATGTGTTATACAAATGTTAGGTCTTTTACAAAATTGATGTTAACATAAATGGCTCCTGTGGAAAATACAATTAATTAAAAAAAATTATCCACAAGACTTTGTGAGTCTTCAAAAACAATGAAAATTATCAGCCTATCAGGTTTCTTTTCTTTAAAGGTACTTCGCAGTGGAGGTGAATATAAAGAACGCTGGTGGTAAATGTAGTGGCAGGGGAGTATGAATGAATAAACCTCTCCTAGTTTCTCTGCACAGATTAAAAAGATGTTGGATTCACTATAGGGCACCCGTGAACCTAGTAGAAAAAACTGAGGCACAATAGAGTATTTAATTAGACTATATACTTGGAATCAGATTCCTAGACTAGAAGTATTATTTTTGAGTTAGAAATACTGTGGTGAATACTGGCCAGTATCCCTGTGAATATTGTACTAATTTGATAGCTGTGAAGCATCTGCCAGTCCATAACATTTAACAAATTAAAAAGTTAAAATACTTTATCATACTTTATCTCAACCAAAGGAGTGGCTCAGTGTCAACAACATTTCAGAGGTGACATGCCAAGCCATCATTTATTCCCCCTCTTGAGGAGACAAGATGTGGATTGGTGGCTTTTTCTCCAGGGAAAGAGCAGGGACAGCATTCTCAATTTCCTTTTGAAAAACACCCTGAGAGCTCAAATATGCAAGACTGAACACATCCTTATTCTGATTCCTCCAGAAGCTCCTCTAAATTGAAGGTAAAGGAAGGAGATAAAGTGTAAGACTAACTGACTTAGGGTAAAGAAAGCTGGAACCTAAATGCCAGCAGAGCAAAAAGCAAGCCAATTTGAGCTACAGAATCTTGACCCTGTTTGAGGAAAGCATTTTAGGAATTTATTTGGAGAACAAGGATTTTTGAGGAATGCACTAACCATTCTGTCTCTAGAGTGAGTTTCCATTCTGCTGTTCTGATCTATAGATCCTGGATTTGAGCGGCAACATCCAACTGGATTTTCAGCCTCTAGCCAGCTCCACTCACTTCAGACTGGCCAGTCCCCACAATCTGAATTGGCATGTGCCAATTCTTTAATCTATCCTGTTACTACTGTTTCTCCCAACTAACAGGGATTTTTGTACAACTCAGTGGTTTATGTACACTGACACAAAGACTTCTTAGTTTGTCTAAAGTTTGAAGTTAAGGGGAGATTCTGTCAGCAACCAAAGGCCTCTTGAAAAGGTTCAGTCCTAAATTGGTTTTCTCTCCAATTGCAACCCAAAGCTTTACATCTGTCTTCTTGCCCCTACAGAGGGATTATAGTTTTGTTCACTATCTTGATTGTGGTGATGGTTTCACAGATATATACATAACA